GAATCTGAAGCACTGGATGAATTGCTTCTCTCTTCTTATCATGCAGCTGCTCTGTCTATCCTCTCTATATACATGCTGCTCAAAGGGATAGGACATGAGAGAGATTTTACCAAACTATCTTTTGTACAGCATTTCCATTAATATAACATGCATATTTTACATTTTTGCATATTGTACTGAGTTCACATAAGGTAACAAAGGCAATGCTTGCTACTGTATATCTTTGACGATGCTTCATTTCACAGCCCCTTGATTTTGGTAGTGCTCTTAATCTAGGATATTGCATTAATTATAGTACTAATAAGCCTTAATTGTATAGTTATTATTCCATTACAGTTGCAGCCTTTAGCAGCCTGGGGATTTGAGAAACATGCATGCCAAGGTCACTACTTAATTAGGGCTTCTTGCAATTAAGAATGAGTAAATAAAAAGCCCAAACCTTAAAAATCAAAATGGTTCAAGTCTCAAAACATGTAACAGAATATTCCAACTTTCCTTCAATTCCATGTGAACCTGATTTTTTCTATACATGTCAGTATTAAGGAAATAATGACCAAATGATCATTTTCACCAGTGATACTTTTATAGTGTTCGTGAATTGTATACATTAAGAACATCACTCTCTAGTTACAATGTCCATTTACAGGATTTATGGATCTTTGGAGTCTTCTGTCAGCTTCTGTATTCACCCTGTAGGTAAATGGTCAAACTACATGTAATGCTGAGCTATATGCAATTTTCCAGAGGTTTTTCTCCATAAAGCGGGGGGAAACAATAAAACTGCCAGAGAAGAAAACAGCCCACGCTGTCTGCAGATCTTCCAAAATATATAGCAGCTTCCATGAGTCTGCACCATGTCTTGGAAACATGCTGTTTTCTGCTAGAATCAGCCTTATTATGAACAACTTCAGGAAAAACTACATATAATCTGGTTTCATCTTAACAATGTCTGTTTTAATAACAGTGCATGATTCTTATATTTCAATTCTTAAGTTCCAAAGACGTCATAGCTGTATTTGAGTATAACTATAACATCTCTGACAGGGACCCTTGAGTGAAATTATATAATATGTACTTCATGTTTTATATCTTTGATGTCTATGTTATCAAACTGTACATCCTAAAAATTTAAAATCCAAAGAAACAAAGCAAAACGAAAGACTAATACAGCTACCTCTTCTAAAACGAAACATATAACAATCTGATGCTGAAGCACAAACAACAATACACATGGACACAGCAAAACATTCTCTTTTGGCCAGAACAGGAAAGAAGAAATGAAGGATTTATTTCAACCCACTTTTTAAAAATTAAAGGTGTTGGAGCTAGAGTTATGAAAAAAAATCTTGCTAATGTCTTGTTTATGCACTAGACAGAAAGCTTGGCATAGAAAGCCAACTTACCGATGATTTGCAAACTCCCATCTGAGACTGAGATGCCCATCGCTTTTCTTTCCAATTGTGGAAAGGCACAAAATGCCTCTTGAACCCTTTCCCATTCTGAATATATGCACACACATAGCAGGCACAAAAGACCAAGCTGATTGGGTAGAATAGCTAATACTTTGGAAGATAGAAACAAAATTCAAAATGATCTTGATAGACTTGAGCACTGGGCTAAAAACAATAGAATTTAACAAGGATAAGTGCAAAGTACTGCACCTTGGAAAAAGAAACCAAACGTACAATTACAAGATGGAGGATACCTGGCTCAGCAATACTTCAAGTGAGAAGGATCTTGAAATTGTCGTAGATCACAAGCTGAATACAAGCCAACAGTGTGATGCGGCTGCAAAGCAGGCAAATGGAATTTTAGGCTGCATTAACAGAACGTATAGTTTCATAATCGCATGAGGTGTTAATCCCCCTCTATTCAGCAGTGGTTAGGTCTTACCTTGAATCTTGTGTCCAGTTCTGGACACCACTCTTCAAGAAGGATGCTAACAAATTGAAATAAGTTCACAGGAGGGCGACAAGGATGATCAAGGGGCTGGAAACCAAGCTTTATGAGGAAAGGCAGAAAGACATGGCTATGTTTAGTCTTGAGAAAAGAAGACTGAGAGGTGATACAATAGCACTTTTCATTTGAAAGGCTGCCATACAGAGGAGGGGTAGGATTTGTTTTCGATCATCCCGGAATGCAGGACACGCCACGATGGGCTCAAGTTAAAGGAAGCCAGATTTTGGTTGAATATCAGGAGAAACTTCCTAACTATTAGAGGAGTATGACAGTGGAACCAGTTACCTCGGTAGTTGGTGAGTGCTCCAAGACTGGAGGCATTCAAGAAAAACTTAGATAATAACTTGGCAGATATGCTTTGATTGTATTCCTGCACTGAGCTCGGAGGGGGGGTTTGGACTTGATGGCCTTGTAGGCCCCTTCCAACTTCACCTTTCTGTGATTCTATAATTCTGTGGCCCCAAACTGCTTCATCACTACAAAAGGGATCCTAAGGGAGCCTCAGGACCGCTGAGGGGGAGGAATCAGAAATTTTCAATATCTGAAAAAACACAATAGGTGATGACCTCAAGAAGCTTAAACAGTGTAACTTTTAGCAACAGGATTTCAGCCAGTGTGGATAATAGAATAAACACATGTGAAAAAGAAAATACAGACAACCTTGAAAGTTTGAGGTTGAACTGACTATTCTGTTAAACATGTTACGGAAAAATACAAAAAGATCAAATGAAAATTTGAATTTATTGAATTATCTGAAGGTCTTTGAATTCATCTTTGTTGGACTTCTTCCAAGTTTACTACAGATATTAACCTTGTCGTCACCATGACCTTAGTTGCTCTGGAATTTTAAATACCATGACTGAGGAGGAGAGTGAAATTTCTATACTAACTTAACTATTCACTTCTTCTGTGTGAACCAGGGTTTGTCCTGAAATAATTATGTTTGATCAAAGAAGAATGAAGCAAAGCAGAACATGTTTCTACAAAATGTGGTATCAGTCTGGAAGTATGTTGCAATAATTCTCACATGCTTCCTCCAAAGTAACTAAGCTGCTGAGATAGCCAAGTTCCAAGGCATGCAAAAACAGATCTTTTGTTCTGTGGGTGGACATATAAATTGTCTGTTTGAGTTTTGTGTACATAGAAGGACTTTCACATGGTGACAGCCAGTTAGGGGCCAGCTTGATATAGACCCTTTGTACACCCCACATACAGTTTAACATGTTAGTTTGAAGATGCTAATTTAATAATTCCAGAAATCAGCTTGGCTTCGATATCTCCTATGTTCAACACCACCATGTCAAATGCCAATTTAACAAGATGCACTGGCAATGCACAGCTGGCACACATGCTCAGAACATCCCCCTTTTTTGACAGTTTAGCTTGAAGACATTTAAAGAAAACATCCAAGGGGATCATAGTTTCTAACTTGCACATCTGATCTTAGTTCGAGAACCATCAGGGCCAAAAGTGTATCATGGAATGGAGGGGGGATGATGGGCACCCTTTAAGAAGTGGCAAACAAGCCCAGAAACTGTCTAGAGATAGGAAAGGAGGAAAAAGGAGCTAGGAATGCAAGAAATTGTTCATCCTTTACTATGAATGATATAGTCAAAACATGCACATTACTATTATGATGTGGCAGGACTAATATAGTCCTTAGAGATGAACGTGTTGCCCAAAGCAACTTTAGTTAAAAACAGAAGACAGATGTATAAAGAAATCTCACCTTCTCTAGTTCACACTCTTGGCCGATCATAATAATAATGTTCAACTAGAACAACAGAGACACTGAAAATATTTCTTTCTGTTAAAGGATTGATGTTAATAGACTCAAGAACTTGAAAATTATCCCACAATCAGATAGTCCATACTATTCCCATGGTAAATGTAATGCAACTAATTTGCTCTCTTGTTTATTATGTTCATAAAAAGTGAGAGAAGTAACCAGGCTGAGTAGACTAAGCAATTCAGGTATTCCTCTTCTTTCTTTTTGGAAATAAATATACACTGTTGAGCTTCTTTTCTTTTCTTTTTTTACCTCAAAACAGAAGTCTTGTCCAAGTATACTACTATGAAGCGGCTTAACAAAGACTCTTTCTTCTCTTGCAAGGTCTAGTGTCTCCACAGCACTGCCTGGACTCAGCAAGGATTCATGAGAACGAGACTCTTTCAGCTTTGGTAAACCGCGGGACCTGGGCAGAAGCAGAAGGAAGGAGAAATAAAAATTCAAGGAAAAAAAAGGAGGTGGCTCCATAAAAGAAACTTGTTTTCTTTTTCCAAACAAACTTTTAAAGCTTCCCTCATTTCAAACACTGATCATGGAAACATGATACTCTGATAAATTCCAGAGAATATTTGGTACATCCAGCAGATTCAGGAACATAGCAATGTTTTCCTGGTTGGCATTACATAATCTTGACAACTGGCTTTATAATCCTTATGTGTGAATACACATACAGATTTTAAGCAAATGTTGCCTACCTGTTTCACAGAATCCACAAATCTGCACATACGGCATAAAATATAAGCAACTTGTCCCTAGAAATTGCACATACACAGGCATAATCTAGACACTTCAAATTGTAGAATATCCTCCCCAAATCCAGCTAGACATCATGGAAAACAACTTTAAAAGCTGCTCTGGAACACAAATATTTATTTAATATATTTAGCTTTTTATGCCTTTTGTACTGCACCCACGGGCCTCAAAGTAATACCCTTAGTATTTCCTCTGCCCCTTCAGCCTAGAAACATGACTGGTTGAAAGATATCAACTACTTCAAAGTAACTTATTAACTAAGTAGAAAATGCAATTGAGATTTCTCATAAATGGTTGGACAAATCTAGATGCTATAACAATTTTAAGGAGTAGCTGTGTTAGTTTGTTATAGCAAAAACAAAGAAGAGCTACATATACCTGGTGACATGGGCTACAAACTATAGATGTTTATACCAACTAGAATTTGCTGGTCTTTAATGTACCACAAGATTTTGTTGCTATTTCTTTATGTTATCAATGTTGTTCTTCATTATGATTATTTGTAAAGGAAAGCCATGTATTGAGGTCACAGCAGATCTAGAACCTGAATACATAGCAAAAATAAAATAAAAAAGTAAAAGGCAGGAAATACTACGGGTTTGCATTTTTCCTGTTGATCACATGATGATTTGTGTTTTCCCTGTTGATCACGTGATGCAGAGAAATGAGAATCAATCCAGAGTCCCACACCCCCAATCCTTAATTTTTCCTCTCCACCCTTTTACAAGTCGAATCCTTTTGTTTTGCTTTGTTTTAAAATGTGTGATCACTTTTGAACCGATGGCAGAAATGAAACACTGACCAATTCAAACACACATAAAATGGAGCTTTAGCAAAACACCTTCCCTTTGCTTCCTGCCTCATGAGGGAAGACCACCTCGCACGGTCGCGCGCGCGCGCGCACACACACACACACACGAATACACAGAGAAGCAACACAACCCATGCTTCTCTCCACAAAGCCTTTCTCCCAAGATACTTCTCCCAAGATATTTTTTTAAAACAGCTTCTCCTGAAGAGAGTTATTGTTTGTTTGTTTGTTACAGTTTAACAAGCTCTACCTTCTGCAAGATAAGATCAGGAAACTGAGTGATTGAGGAAGGAATCACTCATCTCATTTCCTCTTGAGGCATTTCTTACGAACCACACCACCTACAGTATATCACAGAAGTGTGTACACCCCCTCACATTTCATAAATATTTTAGTATATATTTTCATGTGACAACACTGAACAAATTAACATTTGCCTACAATGTAAAGCAGTGAGTATACAGCTTGTATAACACTGTAAATGTGCTGTCCCCTCAAACGCAACACACAGCCATTAATGTCTAAACCACTGGCAACAAAAGTGAGTACACCCCTAAGTGACAATGTCCAAATTGGCACACAGTGTCAATATTTTGTGTGGCCACCATTATTTTCCAGCACTGCCTTAACCCTCTTGGGCATAGAGTTCACCAGAGCTTCACAGGTTGTCACTGGAGTCCTCTTCCACTCCTCCATGACGACATCACAGGTTTATGTTAGATACCTTGCGCACCTCAAACCTTCCATTTCAGGATGCCCCACAGATGCTCAATAGGGTTTAGGTCTGGAGACATGCTTGGCCAGTCCGTCAACTTTACCCTCAGCTTCTTTAGCAAGGCAGTGGTTACTTTGGAGTTGGTTTTGGGGTCATTATCATGTTGGAATACTGCCCTACGACCCCGTCTGTGAAGGGAGGGGATCATGCTCTGCTTCAGTATGTGACAGTAAATGTTGGCGTGCATGGTCCCCTCGATGAACTGTAGCTCCCCATGACACTCCCACCACCATGCTTGACTGTAGGCACAACACATTTCTCTTTGTACTCCTCACCCGGTTGCTACCATACACACTTGACACCATCTGAACCAAATAAGTTTATCTTGGTCTTACAGGACATGGTTCCAGAAATCCATTTCCTTAGTCTGCTTGTCTGCAGCAAGCTCTATGCAAGCTTTCTTGAGCATCATCTTTAGAAGAGGTTTTCTTCTAGGACGACAGCCCTGGAGACCAATTTGATGCAGTGTGCAGTGTACAGTCTGAGCACTGACAGGCTGACCCCTCAACTCTTCAACCTCTGCAGCAATGCTGGCAGCACTCATACATTTATTTACCAAAGACCAACCACTGGATATGACACTGATTACGGGCACTCAGTTTCTTTGGTCGACTATGGCGAGGCCTGTTCTGAGTGGAACCTATCCTGTTAAACCGCCGTATGGTCTTGGCCACCGTGCTGCAGCTCTGTTTCAGGGTTTTGGCAATTTTCTTATAACCTAGGCCGTCTTTATGTAGAGCAATAATTGGTTTTTCCAGATCCTCAGATAGTTAATTACCATGAGGTGCCATGTGGAACCCAGTGACCAGTCTGAGAGAGTGAGAGTGATAGTACCTGCTCCCCCTTCATACCTGACACTTATGACACTATCAGGTCTCATGACACCAAGGAGGAAAAATGGTTTTTTGGTTGTTTAGTCATTAAGTCGTGTCTGACTCTTCATGACCCCATGGACCAGAGCACATCAGGCCCTCCTGTCTTCCACTGCCCTCTGGGAGTTTGGTCAAATTCATGTTGGTAGCTTCGATGACACGGTCCAACCATCTTGTCCTCTGTCATCCCCTTCTCCTCTTGCCTTCAGCTTTTTCCAACATCAGGGTCTTTTCCAGGGAGTCTTCTCTTCTCATGAGATGGCCAAAATATTGGCACCTCAGCTTCAGGATCTGTCCTTCCACTGAGCACTCAGGGTTGATTTCCTTCAAAATGGATAGGTTTGATCTCTTTGCAGTCCAAGGGACTCTCAAGAGTCTCCTCCACAGCTACTTGGGCCCAATTTGGACATTGTCACTTAGAGATGGTTGGACAGTGTCACTGAATTTGACCAAACTCCAGGAGGCAGTGGAAGACAGGAGGGCCTGGTGTGCTCTGGTCCATGGGGTCACGACGAGTCGGACACAACTAAACAACGACGAATAGAAGTATAGTTTCCAAATCCCATGAGGTGCTAATACCCCTCTATTCAGCAGTGGTTAGGCCTTACCTTGAATCTTGTGTCCAGTTCTGGACACCACTCTTCAAGAAGGATGCTAACAAATTGAAATAAGTTCACAGGAGGGCGACAAGGATGATCAAGGGGCTGGAAACCAAGCTTTATGAGGAAAGGCAGAAAGACATGGCTATGTTTAGTCTTGAGAAAAGAAGACTGAGAGGTGATACAATAGCACTTTTCATTTGAAAGGCTGCCATACAGAGGAGGGGTAGGATTTGTTTTCGATCATCCCGGAATGCAGGACACGCCACGATGGGCTCAAGTTAAAGGAAGCCAGATTTTGGTTGAATATCAGGAGAAACTTCCTAACTATTAGAGGAGTATGACAGTGGAACCAGTTACCTCGGTAGTTGGTGAGTGCTCCAAGACTGGAGGCATTCAAGAAAAACTTAGATAATAACTTGGCAGATATGCTTTGATTGTATTCCTGCACTGAGCTCGGAGGGGGGGTTTGGACTTGATGGCCTTGTAGGCCCCTTCCAACTTCA